TGAGGTAATTATTATTGTCCCTTTTTGCCCACAAATCTCGAAAACAAATCCAATATTGTATAGTTATATTTCTATTTTTTAAATTTATTTCTAATTTTTTTTCTATTCTTTTTATTAGAAATAGTGGGCCACACAAATCCAATTGTGTGGGCTGGCCCAAGTTGGATAACTCCATTAACCAACCTGAAGAACATAAAGATCTGGGGCAGCCACATGGAACATTTGCCTCCTTTGTGGAAATTGCCTTCTCTAGAATCACTCGTGGTGAATGGTATGCAGAAAGTAAAAAAGGTGGGAGTTGAATTTTTGGGAATAGAAACATCTTTGTCTCCATCTTCATCATCCATTTTCGCCTTTCCCAATTTGAAGTCACTGACATTTGAGTTGATGAAAGAGTGGGAAGAGTGGGATTATGAAAGCAGAGGAGAAGGGGATATCACAATCATGCCACGTCTTTCTTCCTTGACAATTCAATTTTGTTCGAAGTTAAAGAAGTTGCCAGATTATATTCTCCAGAGTACTACCCTGCAAGAATTGACAATTTTCAACTGTCCAATTATTTCAAAACACTGCAAAGAAGACTACCAATTCTTTATCGACCGCATTCCTCACTCCAAAGTGCAAGATTGGGACTAGGGAGTCGGACTCGGACTTTGAGTAACTCGCAAAAAAGAAAGGTACTGTCTAATTTTGCTTTGCTCAATGTCCTTACCCTATTTGATTTTGTTTGTTGGTAAGTAATGGGGCGAAAACACATTAATTGCCCATACACATTCAAATAATAATATTAAACCAAACAAATTACTAGTAAATGTAGAAGTTGATATTTTTGCATTCTTTTTCTTTCTTTAAAAAAATTTGCCATTTTATAGTACAAGATGCATTAAGGCTGAATTTTATATTTTTTTTATTTTTAAAATTTCAATTTTTAAGGTGTATATATTTCAATTGATATAACATTCTATTTAGTGATTTATGTAATTTGAGGTAATTGTTATTGCTCCTTTTTCTTTCCCACACCATGGAAGCAATTTCATTTTCTGTTTTTCTTTTTCTAATTAATTATTCCTTCTGATTGCCATTTTCTTTCCTTCTTTTCATTTTTAGGAGACCCCATGTGCATAGCTTCAGAAGTTGTGGCCATGGTGGAAGGATGATAGACCGGCCTGGCTCGTGGTGCTCACACTAGCTTCCATGTGTCAGCTTTTTGGCATAGCTGTTAGTTTCTGGATTTTTATTTTCTTAATTGAAGGGTTATTTTTGGGCCGTCTGTGTGCTTTAAAAAAAAAAAAAACACCTTTCAAGTTTTCCTAGGATTTTCTTGTAACCCATTTTCCTATTAAAAAGAAAAAAAAGCCCAACAAGGCTTGCACATGGGAATGGCTTGGCCTGTGTTACCCACGCCACATGCCAACCCGGGCACTGGGCATTAACAAGTGGGCTTTCGTTTTCTTTGTGTGTTTTTGCTATTTTCATGGGTCATTCAGGATCGAAAATGAAAAAAAAAATGTTATCTTCCGTATTTTTGTAATCTCTTTTTTTTTTTTTTATGGCCTTGTAATATTTGTTTTAACATAGTGAATTTTCATTTTGCCATTGAATGGCCGTGAATGTTTCCCCTCTTTGGGGTTTTACCACATTAAAAAATTGGTGTTCTCTTCTTTACTTTTAATTGTTGCATAGTTTAATTATATATAGTTGAATTTGACTTATATAAAACCAAAAGAGTTAGTGTACCTTTTTAATATAAAATTAGAGTTAAAGAACCAAAAAATGTGTTTAAACCAAAACAAATAATAGTAAATTTGACTTGTAATGATATTTGAGTTGAAACTTATGGGTCAAGAAAAAAATGGCTAAACTATATGGCTTACAGTGTTGTTCACTAACCTAGGTTTTTTAAAAATAAAATAAAATAAAAAGGGTTTAGTATACCATCCTATATCGGTTCTTCCCTTCCTTCTAAACTTTTTACACTCCCTTTCTTCCCACATTCCCTAGCAATTGTCGTATACCTATTCTTCTCCTTCACTTCCTTCACTTCATCAACTAGTTTGTCATTGCATAGGTAACTATTTTTCACTTAAGTTTATTGATTTTTTAAGTGATTAAAATCTTGTTTAAGATATGATGAACATGAAAAGATTAAGTTTTTAATCAAGTTATTTTCTTTCTACATAAAATTTGATTGTGTAGGAATTTATTTTTGTGTGGAATTTGATTTCTACCTCAACAAAATACAATTTTTATGTGGAATTTAATTTTTTGATGGTTTGAGGGAATTTTGGTACATACTTATACCAATTTCCTCTGTTTTCCATTCAATTTTTTTTTTTAAATAGAGGTAATTTCTTAATTTTTGTCACTTTTTTCTCAACTAACTACTATTTTGATTTTTACACATAATGTTCTTCATGTGCAAACTTTTAACAATTTATGCTTTATTTAATTTATGCTTTATTTATAGAAATACAAATTGAAGTTAAATTTCTTGAAATTGAAAGAGATTGAATGGACAAACTTGAAAAGTTCAAAGAAGTTTCAAATCCCCGTTTAGCTACTCCATGTTGTGGTTGCATTTTTCCTTTTTAGAATTATAAGAATTCTATAAGATTTCATAATTGACGGTTCTTTTCCTTGAGGAGTAATGTAATCTAGATTGTAAGTTCTATATATAATTGTTGTTTTACCATTCTTTTGTTATAAATATTAATTAAGTTATATAAATATATAAACAACCATACAAAATCCAAATAAGAAGAAAATATAGAGAAAGCTTTCCTCTCAACCTAATGACCCCTAATGATAAAGTTTTAGTTAGTTTTGAACAACATTTATAATAAGAGATAGATTTACTTACATATAAATTTTATATATGTTATACTTAACTATTTATTTTTTCACTTTTAATAATTAAGTTCTATTACGATTTTTTAAATGAAAAAAATAATTATCTTTAATAAATATGTATAAATATCAATTATTAAAAATAAAGAGATAAATGATTGAAATTTTATATAAATATAATATATAAAACTTGGTTATAAACATATCTATATTCTTAAAACAAAGCCTTAGATTTTTTGTTTTTATGGAAAGTTATTTAGGTGAATTGAGGTTACCTAATTTCTGAGTCTTACCAATTCTAATGGACATTTATAGTGAAGTTTACAAATTACTTATTCACTAATGATTTTTGTTCGGGGAAAAAATCAAAGAAGTCAAAATCGTACCGTACCGATTGATACAATGGTACGTATCAGTTTTGACAATTAATCGAAATGATATAATATTAATTTTCGTTTCGATCAAAATTCGATCATTTCGATCAAAATTTGATGTATTGGCTGAAATTTCGGTGTTCTGACCGGTTCACCAGAATTTCAGTCGATACACACTACAAATTAAAAAAAAAAAGGATTCCCCTATCCCAAAACGACGTTGTTTTGGGCTAAGGGTTTTTTCAAAGCCTGCAACTGCAATACACAGGAATTGTCCGTACAATTCAAATTCAAATTTAAAAGGGTAAATTTCATTTTTATCCTCAACTTTAATATCATATATAATTTTTATCCTTTATCTTTTTTATGTACTT